ACAAAAAAGTGCACAGGGTACATTCAAGTACTCAATGAGTACAATCCAAACCAACAAAAAAAAGTTAGATTTTTCAAACTTCGATGCCAACTTCACATAGCTTCGATAGACGAGCTAGTGAACCTTTACCCCAGGTTCAGGTTAACGAGACTCATCGTGTGCCGCCCCTGAAACTTTTATGGCGCCTGACAGCAGGTGCGCATTTCCTCCTCTCTCCATCTTTCTCTCTCTGTTTCCCGGTTTGTGCACAACTCATTCCCTCCTGTAACCCTTCCACCCGCTCTCTCTCTCTCTCTCTCTCTCTCTCTCTCTCTCTCTCTCTCTCATTCACTTGCGTATAAGTAATCTTTGTGAAACGATCTCGATCAGACTGAAATGACGAAATGTTCACTCACATGGAGTTCAATACAACTGCAGAATCGAATACCCATCCTCCCGCCCTCGACTTTATCCTTGGAATACTTTACAGTTCCTTATGAATGTTTTATTTGTCTCTAACTGTCAAGATCGTAGAGAGATTTTTTTTCATTCAACTACCTCACAAATGTGAAATGGCTTTTCCAATGCATCATCATAAAATGAGAATTCTTATCACTTATTGCAACTGTTTGCGAAGTAATAATCCAAGTTTTCTCCGGTAATTGAATCATTATGTCTCAAGTAAGAGAGCAAAAGAAGAAAGGAGTTTTTTTTTGTGGAGGAAAAATGTGTAATAAGTATCAAATCATCGAAAAATGGAATTATTTTTGCCATTTTTTTTGTGTATTCCCTAACAAAAGCACAATTTTACGGAAATTGATAAAGCTCAGAGTATATCACTCGAAATTCAATTAGATATAATTTTTGGTTTGCTAGGTTTTATAAAATATGAAGGAACACGAGTAACGCGAATGTAGTAACGAAGCAGAAGGGTGTCTAATGCCATTTTGGGTATAATGAGGTTAATTCAATTGGCAACTCGTTAGGATAGAGTAAAGGAGAGAAAAGTGTAGACTTTTTACTCTCGTCTCAGGCTCTTTCTAACCGACTCCCTCTCGTTGTCCGGCGTGTGTTACGTGATTCTATATAGACACAAAGGGAATTAGCGAGAAATGGAATAGGGGGTTGCGAGAGGCAGATATACTGAAGTCAGCATAAGTTTTAACATTGATTTTAGAAGTGGGGGACATGGTTACAAGTGGTAACTACGTGGAGTGGGGGTACCCAGAGAAGTAAAAACTTATGCTGACTTTAGTATAGGTGATAGCAGCGACTTGGTAATATTCATCTAACTCCTTGTGCCTTATCGTGCTGTCGCGTATAGGGATTTTCTCTCTCGGGTCATGGGAAGTATTACGATAGGACACGAATGGATCTTGTCTTGACACCATTTGCGACCTGTGTATATTCTATGGATTTATGTTAAATGATTCGATACGGTGACTGAAAAAAAATTAACAAATAGAAGATCAATGGAATAGTTCAAAACAGAAATTAGTAAAACCTATCTCTTCATTCCATTCAGACCATCTATTTTTTATTCTCTCAATCCAACGCATTTCCATTCATCCACTTTCCACCAAGAAAATCAGCAATGCGCTTTACGTCCGTCTTCCTCGCTTAATTCATGTCGGAATAAAAGTTTATGGTTTTCTGTTATCTCGTGATTCACCTGACGTAAACATTACTACCGGTGAAAATAAAGAGAAAATCTGTGTAATGAGTCGGAGATACTTTATAAAAATAAAGTATCAAGGAATAAATCAGTATATTGATTACATACCCCCTCATACACAGATTAACCCAGCGCACACGAAACAGTTGTCGTTTTGTGGATTAATATTGGAGTTACCACAGGGGAATTAATTCACGCCTGCATAATCATCAATTTAGGATTATACGGTACAGTAGGGAGAGGGAAATTTGGATAAATGACGAGATGGAGGGAGAGACAGACAAAAGGAGACAGACTTACTCTATATAGTTATATGCTTCGAATCTAATTTTTTCATTGGGCTTACCTCGACTAGGGTAATGAGGATAATGAATAGCGGAGGTGGACAACACGTGTAGTGATCAGCGTAATATTTTCGGTCCCGTTCCTCGGTGAGGAATTCATCGCCGATCATGCGGACCATCCTGCAAATAAAAAAAAATATACATAATTAATTAATTTCACAGTCAATTAATAGACTTGCCCCTGCTGAAATTTATTAAACAAAGGGGAGGAGAAAAATTGGATACATTTTGCCTAGTCATGGGTTGCGTTCTATCGAAATAACGACAAGCTCAACAATATACAGTATCATGTTTTGGCAATGTGAAACTAACCAATATTAATCACGCAGGCAATGGAGTTGAGAATTATTACAAATTCATAATTACCCTGGTTGATTAATCAATCAATGTATATGAAATGCTATTGAATAACAAATTTCCTAAAACCCTGGGATTCTATACAGTAATACAAATTCTGTACTGTCGAAACTCGGTAATGAGCTCTCGTCAGTCCTCTTCTAGCCTCAACGGAATAAAATTGAATGAAAAAAAAAAGGTGGAGAGAAGTCTTTTGAAAATTAATTAACGCCAGTGATGTAACGAGGTTGCATAAGAAATTGTTTCAAACGTGTTAGTACACTTTTCATCCTCCCTTTATCGGCAGGAAAAACTTTCAATGTTGGCTTTTACTCTCACCGCAGAAATTCTTAAATGTAAGTCCCTCCAGGGATGAAAAAAAATCTGCAATTGCTGCCACAAGGATCAATCATCCGATCGATTGAAAAATCCATCACTCATGAGAAGCAATAAAAAGTAATTTTTAATGTCTACATATTCGATTGAATCCACAAATTTGATACCATGGTTTTGCTATATAAAGAGATATGTTAATCCACTATGATAATTTTTTGACTTCACCACGTAAAAGGACGTCGCATTGTGCCACCTCGACTGGGCTTTTTATCTTGAAAAAGCTCCTTCTTCATTATTTTTTCATTGAGTTTCAATCCGATAGAAATAAGAGAAACCACTGGTTGAGGCTAACACGAGCGTAGGAACAATGGCCACAGGCCTGTCACTGGTTCTCCAGTTGGTCGAATTGGTATGAGTGCGAAAAAGAGATAATTCTATTGTCTCCAAGTTTCATCGTTACTTCATTTATAAAACCCTTTTGAAATTTCAACTCTAGACCGTCTCACTGATGAAATGGCGTTAGCAATTGTATTTCTTCTTGCCTTTCCCCTATCGACAACCCTTTTTTTTTACGATACGCGATTCTATAAGGTATCCAGGAAGCCCCCAGACCACGTATAGTGTATCTAACAACCAGGATTGTGAAGTTAACAATATCCACAGAGGTAACCGCAAAGGACGTACTGGCTTATCGATCCAGTCCCCCCTTCAGCCAACTTTTTCGTACAATCTCTATGTTGTACATTATAAGAGAGAAACAGAAAGCGAGCATTCACTATAAACACATGGATCATATTTAAAATTATAAAAGGCAAAAAGCCGCACCCATACTTTATTTTCATCGCTGGATATTCATTAACTCGGGCTGTAAAGAAACAAATAATTTGTGGAATAAAAAAAATAAGCAGAGATCCCGTTCCATGATTATGCTGTGTCCCCTCCCTGTAAATACACGCAAATACATATCCGAGTTTTTGCCATTGAGGCCATGAAATCCGAAAAAACAGGGGCTACCGTATTTTCATTAATTTTAATTGACCTCGTTGCATTAATTCCTCTCTTCACCTTCTATCCATTTTAACCTGGATTATAAATAACTGACGAATTTAATTTTACTCGTTTGATATGGATTATCAATTAGACGAGTTCATTTGAATCATGAATTGATGTTGATTCGCATAGCACAATTTCCACAACTCGAATTTACTGAGCCATTTTTGTAATTCTGCAAAAACAAAAATAGAAAAAAAAAAACCGTTGGCAAGTCGTTCCATAAAAAACGAAAATGGTCTTTCCCTCTAAAATAGTCCGATATCTCACGGATTATCTCCATCCCTCGGGTAGGATATAGTATTAATGAAACTCCCGGAGATTGAAGAAATGAAAAATAAGAGAGCGAAGATAACGAGGAAACGTCTAGGTCCTAGACTCTAGGATAACCCAGCAGTAATAACAGCAGATGCATTGTCATCTATTCCATGGGTTATAACAATGCCATAAAATCCAGTACTGCACATTTCAGGAGTGCAATTAGTATATGGATTGCGAAGGTGTATATTGGTCATAAGGATGGGGAAGTATGTGTTGTGGCTGCGATGAGATGGTGAACACAAGGGGTTACGGCAATAGCGTTTTACTATACAAAGTTTTTGAGCATATTGACGTTGTCAGAGAAGGGTTGAAAATTCGTATTGGATTGCGAAATCACCCCAACGATTTTCCCAAAATCCCGTCATCCCGTATTATCGATGAAATTTCAAAAATCTCTCCCGAAATTCACCATTTCACTCATGAAATTCCTCAGTGCTCCAATGATCAGAATTAATTAAACCACTGATACTTCAAATAATTTAGAGTTTAATGAGGCTTTTTAATGATGATGAACACTCAATTCCAACTGGCCTGTACAGAATGGCGCCAAGTACACTCAGAGAAATACAGAACGAGCATCAAAAGTACTATCGACAAGTTGTTGGAGTAGAGTGTCATTGAGAGGAGGAGGAGGAGGAGGAGGAGGAGGCAGAGAGAGGGATGCGCCCCGAGAGGACTCAATTCCATTGCCTTTCCTCCATCTTTCAACTGCTCCACTCTTGCTCCAACCTTCCGCCTTCGAGACTGGGCCCCAACCCCAGTTGCCTCGTTAGCGCCAGTAATTGTCACTTGTTAGGTGCCAACTTGTCATCCTCCTCAGTACCTATTCTGCAGTCCGTATCTCCTCATCCACCGGCTTTACTTTGCACACCGCATTCTATATACTTTTGGGTTTAAAACCGCAGAGGGACTTTTCGACGTTAATCAGCCCACAGATTACCAACATGAAATTTTCCAACAAGTCAACGGTAATTTTGAATAAAATTGGGCGAATCAATTTTACTGTTTACCCAATGTAGATACGAAGGTAAATTCAATGTTCAGACGGGAGGACAGCAAATTCAATTATTCATTAATTCAATTATTTTATTACTATTTTTAAATATTATAATAAACCTCCGATCGAGATTAGTTAGTTGGTTGGTGGAAATGATTTATGCAGAAAAGAATTTCGACTATAGTGAATTAATTTCTCACTGTCTACATTGAATCCTGCCAAGGGAAAAGCCCTCACGGTCAGTTCCTTGAGAGATGAAAATATAATTGAATCAACTCATGCGGTTTCACGATTCTACCCGCACTGGCATTATAACGAAAGTAGAAATTTCATTTGCATCGCAAATATCGGTAAAGTTTGAGGACAATGTTCCTCCTTTCTTTCCGACAACCCCCAGCTCGTCCTGAAATTTGTTTTAGTACCGCAATGGATAAGTGCAGGGGATCTCCGAGGAATAAAAATATGAAAATTCGTGGAGACACGCCCGACTACCCCGCAGAAAGGATACTCCTCATTTCCAAAAACAGAATTTGAGTTCTCAATTTCTTTTACTGATAAGGGCCACTCAATACGATTCAGAGAGAAATTTTTCCCCATCTATCCTTCAATCAGTTATTTTCGTTGAATACGTACAACGAATCCGAAAAGGTATTGGATATTGGCGAGTGGAAAAGAAGAGCAGCGAGTGAAATCCGAGACGCTAGCATTGGGTTATTTGTGTATCGAGAAATTTTTTGAAAATTCACAGTAGCTTGACCTTGACAGTAGACTGTCGACGTCTTGAGCAAAAGAAGGTGAAGAATTGAAGGAATAGATAACGGAGGAAAAAATAATTCCTCTAGTGTCCGGAAATAAATAAAAGTCTCGTCGGAGGACGTTGGCGATCAAGCGTAGCATTACAATCCGTAACGGTATATACGGATCGATGATGCGTCACCTCACGATGGCTATCCTCTCTTATCTGTGACTATCCTCTCTCTAACTTACACAAAATTGTCTCATACATACGGCCAATGACATAGAAAATATTATCCCACGGACTCATTCCTGGTCACTTGTAACGGCGATGGAATATTAACGAGAATGTGGAGAGAATTATGGGGCGATCAATTGAGCCATTCGGACATTTTGCTGGAAAGCAGAGAGAAAAAAAAAAGTGAAAATGCGAATTAAATTCGCGTTCAAAGGGAATTGAGTAAGTTTTTCATAGGGTTTCGGCTCTGTATTGGCAGCAGCCAACTGACAGAGTATACACATCGTTTCCCAGTACTCTGAAAATAGAGAGGAGTTTCGCCGCCGCACAAACAGCGTCTCGTCGCGAGGAAACAACAACACGTGCTTTTATGACAAAATCCGGTGTACAAGCATAGGCTGGCAAACTATTGGAAACGTTTGTGGCTTTTCGAATGACAATTAAACCAACTCATACCGACTTGGCCGAATTTCTACAATCACCAGGAAATGCCTTTTTCCATTGAATCAACGTCAGCGAGAGACAATTGTTAGAGGCACTTTATTATTATTTTCCCCATTCCCTTCTATCTCTTTTATCTCGCACACGGTGAATCGATGAAGAGGCTTTATTTACGCTTGACAAGCGATGAAATACCATTTAGCAATGCGGGTAAAACCGATTACCATCGAACAACCCAAGCTCTGACATTTTCGGTAAAATTGAATGAACCTGCCACATCAAATTTAAAATATCGTTCAGATGTTTCACTAAATTTCAACAATATTTACATGATCGACGTGTGTTGGGGCCTGCCATGATCACCTCCATATGCAGGTGCTACAGTTGTGGTAATGGCACCGTTGCGAATTAATCCTGGTGCTGGTCTCGCACTAGTGGCAATTGTTCTCGGCCCTTGACCGCGAGCATCTTTCAGTATTTTTTTAGCGCTTAGCGGCGTTGTCACGCACATTATTGACGCCACTTTGTAACTACTTTTCACACTTATAATCGTACCACCATCGAAGCTAATACCCACTCGATTGTGAGTATACTCGCGAAAACAAATCAAAACGATGAAAACCAAAACACAAGCACGATAACACGAGGGGGGAAAAAGTCCGAGTTGATTATTATTCTCTCATTTATTTTCAAAGCATTGCTTATTCCAAGATCCGCCGATTTGTTGATGAATAATTTTTCAAATTTATTGGCATTATTGGAACTATCGGAATAATATACTTGGGGTTTGTGGAGGCATAGAGAGTGATGCCCGGGACTTTTTGATCGTTGGATTTTGGGGGTGCGAGTGCACGCGTGACGTTCTATCGCACACGTCCCTTCTCGCAGGGCGCCACGGGCTTTACTGAGTCTGACTGACCGAGTGACTCTGGCCTCACACGAGAGCGCTCACCGCGGGCGTGGGTGCACACGCGTCTACCTCTCGGTGGGGGCACAACCGCCTCGTCCCATTGGACTCCGACCCGGCGACTACCTCAGAGGGGGGGAGAACACAACCAGCCAATCGGTGAGCACTTGGGTTACGGCATTCTGCACATCCAAGAACATCTCTACACTCTGCCGCGAGCCGTCGAGACGTTGAGCGGACACGGCTGCTCTCTCAAACACTGCCACTCTCTAAATCCATATTTTCGTTTTATTAGGATTCAACAGGCAATTTGTGTGAATTATTTCTGTGAATTGTTTTTATCTCTCCTTGGATTTTTATTTCCTGGTGAATTATTGTGCCTGATCGGGAGTATTTGGAATGCATTGACATTGACCACAAAATAATTTCAAGATCACCTTTTACAAATTTTCATTGTCATTCTATTTGGTGAAGGTTTTTTTTTCTACTTGGTTACTTTGGGGATTTGTTTTATTTTTATGGATTGTGAATTTAGATCACACGGAGCATTACTTCTTGGTAATTACCCATTGAGTTGAATGCTCTCGAGTAGAGAATGGCCAATCGTTGAAAAGGATTTTTAAAAAGGAGGGCGCGCGCTGACACCGCGGGAAGTGACCAGGTGGTGAATTCTCAGCCGTCGCGTTATAGTAACAAAGTTTTTCACGATCCAATGGGCCCCCCCTTGAGCCGATGTCACGGCTTTTTCATGCTCCCATTAACTTGGAGGATCTCTCCACTAGGATTTTTAGCGAGTGCCGATGTACTGAGAGAATAAAAAGAAAAATACTCGAGAAGGGCGGGTGTGCAGAAGTTTCAATTTAGCCGGCAGTGTATCACTATGAATGCTCGTTTCTTGTTACTCACCCCTCGGGGTTTTGCGGAGGAGAAAGAAAAAAATCGTGCGTGAACCAGGCGTTATATTTTAGAAGTGACCCCATAATTGACCCATGGAAAATCACCCATAAATCCCTCTCAAACTAGCCATATTCTTCAGCCTCACAACTCCCTTATGCTTCCGACACTTTAACTACCAATAAAAATTCTCTCATAATCACCGTAAAATATTGACAAAAACTAATGACTCAATAATCATAACAGAAATGTTAAAAAGCCACTTTCTTACTCTATTACATTGATCTCGAAACGAATTTAATCTTAGAGACTGATTAAATTGGATTTTTCTAGCAGCAATAAGCCGACTCACCACTCAGCTAAACTCATAATTGTGCAAAGTAAGTTTGACGTTAATTGAAGACGGAATGATTTTGCTTCCGGATGACAAGGAGCAAACAGGGAGTCGCGGGTAATCCAGGATAGGTAGGCAGAATGCCAAGAGCAACGGTGAAAGTCGTTAGAGGTAGGTAAGCTCAGTACGTGACACTTCCAAAGGACTCCTACCAGTGTCCTTCATAGGTGCGATATATACAAACTGAAACTTCCAATTTGCCTCCGAGTTGTACAAGCACCTCCTTTCCATCCTCTTTTTTTTTTCCTTTTTTTCCTTTTTTTCCTTCTTTATTCTCTTTTTACTTTTTTTTTTTTATGTAAGCATTGACGTCTTTGTAACAGCTACTGGGTGGCTTCTGTACAATAGAGAGACGAGCAACAATGTAAAGTTGCCTCAAAGTATGCCGTCCTCCGCATTTGAACGATCAGCAATGTTATTTTTATTGTCCATGGGCAAATCTGAGAACTCATCCGTATTTACAAGCATTCGAAATGAGGAATAAACCATTCAACGTAGTGAAAAAATCGTCTGGAATGTCAACTACGGCTTTCAATACAGCGATGTCACACACGTCGTTCGCTCTAACGGGAGTAGGGCCATCAAATAAAAATGATGGGGTATTTATTACCCCCTTCGGCAATTTATCCGCTCGTCATGTGACAAAATTCACAATTTAAATGAAAATCCTCGAGTCAGATAGTCACCTCGCGTGCTCGTTTAACAGAGGACCACCTGACGCAGGAATTAAAAAAAAAAAACCTATGAAAATGAAAAATCTAAAAAAAACATAAGAGGGGAGAAATGAAAATTTAACCAAGTGAAGAATAGAGAAAACTGCATTTGTATTAAAGCCCTGGTAAACTTACGTGATCAAGTAGGACATGGAAAAATCAAAAAAAGATCTTACATCTGATCCCGGGGCCACGAAACTTTCATTATCATCTAAAAGACAAATATATATAACTTTCACTATTGCTGTACGAAAAAACCTGATGAAAATTTGGGCGGGATGAGTGTGAACGAAATCAACCGTCGGTTGATTACACAAAATTGACAGAACAATGGACAGAAGCGTGTTGAAGAAAACAGATCATCACCCTTGTTGCCCTCGGGATTGGCCTGAAATCTCCAGAGAACGTCCAGGAAAGTGCACAATCGTGTTGCACAGTTAGCACACGACGAGGTAAAATAGAAATGTGTCTCTTCCTCTCTCTATACTTCATCTTACTCTCATCACACCCAATGTTCATTGCATACATCCATTCGTTTCGCATGGCACTGGCAATGTTAGAAGCCGGAGACATTTCCCTGAGTTACTTTGACAACATTTACATAGTCTACCCGTCGGTTGCATTTGCGTTAGACGCACGGGTTTTTCTCCAGGGTAAAAAAGATGGCCCAATAGGATTTACTGTTTCGTCTGTATATCTATTGTGCCCAGGGTGTGATATACTCTATAACATCTACCCTATCCACAACTACTCCACCGTGTTCACTATCGTGGCTTTTTTTTTCAACAATTACCTGCTTGGAATATCTCACCTTAATATTTTCGATCCTTCCAGCACCTATATAGAATGTCTCTCACAACACCGAGGGCTCTCATGCGAAATATTTTATTTGCATTCTCTTATCTCGTATGCACAGCCACTGTACTAAAGGTTTACTGTTATAACCGATGTGTCAACTCTTACTATTTCAACGGAGATCTGCACGGCAATTGTAGGCTTTTTTTTTTTCATTTGTGGATGAGAGGCATTTACAGAGGCATTACGCATTTCATGAAATATAATAAATTGTCGGGATACTGGTGTTTGTCGTATGAACTCACCTGTAAAATAGTGGTGGCTCATGTATCAGCAGGTGAAAGTCATTCTCCGAGCATACCTCTCTATCACGATGATGCACAGCGCACTTGAAGCTCCTGGTGCGCTTTCCGCTCATCTGAAATATGAAGAATAAATAAAAAATGAAATTAATAACACATGATTTAATGGGGATTACACTGAGAGGGCTCCAGCAAAAATTGCACGGTTCGTCAAGCATCGGAAGTATATATAGATCGAATTTCGGTTAACATGGTTAAGCAAATGTGCCATAACCGGGGAGCAAACTACCCCTGAGCGCAAAGTGTCTGTATCACATCGTTTCACTCGCTCATCCCTTCAGCATAGATGTTATCCCTCTCGGAATGGTCTGGTTCCAAGTTTGGTCTTGCGGTTTTGCAAGTGGATGAGGGAAACGTCGAGAAGTGAAGTCGGTGAATGAGAGGTTTGCGGAACTGCTGAGCTTGTGTGTATATATACCACCAGCTTTGCCGATTTGATTGCCAAAAAGTCAAGAAGCTACTGAGTAGGAAGAATAAAATGGACGTGGAGACATGCATCCGAGAGACGTCCCCAGAAGTCCAGTAAAACGAAATGAAAGAAAATTCAGGAGTACTAGAGTCAGTTGATGGGAGGGGAAAATTTAATTTGTCTCCACTCGTGTTTGCAAATGAAATAAAAGACAAAGTCAAAGCGATTTCTCTTATCATTCTACTCTGTATCGTTTGGCAATCTATATCAGGCACATTTGTAGCTCTCGTTTAGCCGAAAAATGCAGGTGCACACGAGCGAAGAAAGCTCAATAGAAACACGCATTCCTACAACTCCTTAACAATTCTCCATTGTCTCACTCCTGTAGAATCCCTCAGTTGCTACTTCAAGTTTTCCTCTCGCTCGTTTTTCCATCGGTTTCGCTCGGTTTATTGGCAATGAAATGGCCGATTCCATCGAGTAAATCTTCGACTTCGCGGATTTTACGAGTCCACCGTGGGCACCAGACTTTCCTACTCTTTACCTATATAGATACCACACCGGAATCGATACTGCGGGGTAGCATCTGTGCTTGTACAGAAGATAGAAGGAAATACGAGGGAGATAGTGATTTGGCTTTGGGTTTAACTCTCTCAAGATTACGGGAAAGGAGTTTTAAGTGCAAAATAAACAGTCTTCCCAAGTTTTTTAATCTGTTCGAATATAAATTAATTGCTTCACTCTCAAAAGAAAGAACTAAAGGGGTGGATTTGTTTTGCTGTGAATTCAGTGGGAAGTTTGTGGGATAAGGAGGTAAAAATTGAATATGGAAAGTTCGAATGAAAAAGGAAAAATGGAGATTGAAGAAATGGATACAGAAGAATCGAAACGGAACGGTGAATGTATACAGAAAAGCGGTCTACGTTTTGGGGGGAGATAACTCGTGGATTACAATCTCTTCCTCTCCGTTGGAGCTTCCGCTTGGCGAATTCCACTGGAAGAAATATTCCGTGCACGAATAACGCATTTTCGTTTGGACTACACAGTATCCTATCGCCTGCACCCCTGTTTCACTCTTTCTCCATTCGTTGGAATATGTACACGGACGGTTGGGCTGTGCGAATTCACGGATATATATATACGAGTACAGTGACGCGTGTGATATGAATACGAATTGTCACGAGTGGTATGCACCTATCGTGGGGTAATTTCCATATGGTTGGTTGTATCGGATATACTGCTGAATTGGTTTATTCTGTGAGAATGAATATGCGCCCGTTATTCATCGATTTTTCATATTTTCCTTCGGCTAATTAAATCGCATTTCATACAATTTATCCAAAACTAAAGCCCATAAATGAACAAATTGTTTTATTCGCGTAAAATTACTGCAATAATCGCAGATGACTCAAGTTCGTATTAGTGGTTGGGAGGCATTGGCTAACTATTTGCTTATAACATTGAAACGAAGGACTATTGAGTGCTGATGCAGGTCTCGGAGTTGAGGACTAATGGCTATAGTAATGTCTGCAAGCGGAAAATTCGCTGTGCAACGTTACGAACGATTTGTGGGCTAGACAGAGATATAGTCCACCATTTTCCTACCGATGATCGGGTTTCCCCACTAATCGAATTGAATTCCATTCATGACTGGAATGTTTATTGGTTTGCATTTACAAACGATCTCACAATCGAATTGTATTCGCCTCATCTACGCTTAATGCTTCGTTCGCGTTTCGTCCGAGCTGGGGGAAATTTTGCTGTTTTATCTTTTTTTTTTTATTCCACTGTATTAACGTATAAGCTTTTTATGGATTATTTTTTAAAACTGGAATTGATTATTTTTCTTACGCAGCCAATACACAGAGATTTGGGTGTAGATATGGAGCACGAATGCTGACAAATTGCACGTGAAAGTCAGCTCTGGGGCGAGGAGGGAAAAAATAATTTTCTCAAGATTCACAAAAGTTTCAAGTGCCCGTTAATTACACCGGAAGACCCGTGGGAATGTTTGGGGCATTGACCTGTGGATAGATTAAAAAGATATTACGTGGTGTGGATAATATTAAAATTAATTTCGACCTACTGACAATAATTATAAGCCGACTCGAAGAAAATATAATATTTTTATTTATTGTGAAAGTATAGCAATTTTTTATGGGTAGTTTCAAATACAGAGTTTTACCGCCCGTCCCTGTCTCCTGTAAAATGCAACATAGTAAATTTTCAGACAAATTTACCGCAAGACATTCCCGGAATCGAAAACAACGTACAGTTCAAATATCGCTCGTTCGAGTTTTGAGGTTGATAGCTTCTGACTTTTATTACGTAGAATATAAGAGATGCTGTGTACTGAGTATAATGACATTTTTCAACTCTACTGAAGGAAAAGTTCAGTGAAAAATTGAACAATCTGAAAAATATCACTTGCCATGACAGGGTGAATCCGATCACGCCCCAGGCTCTTCTCTCTTCATTATTGACTTCTGAATTTAAACGCACATGCGTAATTGGAGAGAAAAAGAGATTTATTGTGCAAACCAAGGAAAGGACTTTCGTTACGGACATGAATTGTTCTATGGGGGATGGTCGAGGAAGGAATGTATTCAAAGGTAAATTTAGCTTCTGGGGGAGCCAAGGATATACCTGAAAATAATCGGATTAAAGCGTGATGAGATGAGATAAGTGGAGAGAGGTGGAGTAGCTGCGAGTGGTAAGCTGTCGCGTGGAGTTGACTAATTGGTCTCATTACGCCCTTCCAGTCTAAAAGTGTGGGACAATCAATTCCAGTAGTAAGGGTGCGGGGATGGGCTGTCGAATAAAAAGAAATACAAGGTGAAGGAAATCCGGGGAGGGTACGAGAGCCGACCTCGGGGGCCATCTTCATCAGCTACTTCAAACCGAGTTTTCCCTGCTACCTGTAAGGGCGACTCAATGGACATGGTGAACAACCTCAATTATATATTTCCCATCAATACTCCAAACTAAAAAAAAAAAATGGGCTGTTCGATTGAATGATTTTTTATCTAACAATCCAGATGTTTTTTTTTTTTATTAATTGCTTGAAGTTAAAAGGTAAATAAAGGAATGAAAAATATTGTGATTCTATTCTCTGATGTTTCTCGACTTTTCTTTACATACGACATCAAGATATGTATGCAAATAACCAAAGAGCTGTGATTTAACCCAGAAGGCACGTATATGATGCCATAAAGCCGTTGCAAGCACAATAATGCGCTCCAGACCCGATATAATACTGAATTGGCAACGAAGGTTAGCCTATACATGCTGGATCATGTGGAGCACAAGCATTTCGTGAACTGAGATCTTTCCTTGAGGTAGATAGACGGTGCAATAACCCAGTATGTGCACTGTTATGTTAATCCTCTGTTACCTACACGATGATATACCTCAGCATTTCCGGTGCTAGGCAGTCTTGCCATTGAGTGCCTCGGAAATTCTATTCTCAGAAAAATATATGCCGCTGATAGTGAAAAAATGAAAAAAATCCGCACAATTCTTCGGGATTCAATCACGAATAGAGTTTCGTGTGAAAAAAAAATATATTGGAGTACATTATATGGGCACCGATTATTATGTCAACGGTCAAAAAACTTAATTCGAGGGATAATGCTCAATTATATTTCTACAGTGAGACAGTCACCTGGACTTATTTGCAGTCTCTTCTATTATTATTTTTCCTCATTTTGTTAATCGTAACCGACGATCTGAAGTATATTAGGCAGTCCCCTTCCGGTTTCATGTGGTAATATGTGGAAAAATGAGAAAAAAAAAATGGAAAAAAATGGATCTCACGCTTTGGAGAGCAATAGGACATGCTAGCCTGAACATAGAAGTGGGCGAGAGGATGATATTGCGTTTGAGTATTAAAACGACAGTGAATTCAATTATCGGACCTCACTTGCTTGCCCACTTCGCCAGTTAAATGGGTAGCGATGATTGCGCTCGCTCGGTTTTCCACGCCGCGACACTTTGTTTAACCATCACAGCCCAATTGATATTAATTCCCGATTGGCAATTAAGCGGTTTTCGGGCCAATATCGAAATTCCTGTCGGATCATAGAGAGGGGATTGTTTATGCCTGCAAGTCTACACACATTCTGGCTAGAACATATTTATGATACATGTGAGGAAATGTACTTTTTTTTTCCACTTGCATCATAATATGTTATCACTTATTTCATGCACTTTCCTGACAGCCGTATGTATCCATTATTCTGGCAATTATTCGTGAGTCCTCTCAAGTCGAAATAATGAATGTATTTAATTATTATTGCAATTCAAAGTAAATTTAGATCCTCGGTGAAGAGATCTAATTCCAATTGCCCACGGAAATAACGATGTGTGCGATTTATAGATAAAAAAATCGATTCGAGTTGCCTTCAGTTTATCGATGATAAGACTATTCTGGCATAGTATTTATTATTCATTTAAAATTCTGTTCTTAATGAATGAATGTCAATATCCCAAGCCAATTCAGTCAACTCTGGAATTTTTCGGATAAAATATTTCCATCTCCGTGTGAAGTGTCGATATTCTTGGAGTGAGTATTAATTGACAAGACAGAAATATCTCTCATTTGAATAAAATAGATTGAGCAAAGGTGAAACGTATAAATGTAATTAT